CCCCCCCCCCCTCCAGGGATCAAGTCTGAAACTGGGGCATGTGTCCTGACCAGGAACAGAGCCCGAAACCTCTTGGTGCATGGGTGGACACTCAACCACTAAGCAACACCAGCCAGGTTCACTATAACTTTTTTGGTGATAGAATCCTACTAAGCTTCTTTAGATGTCTTAAAATACTAAAGTGAATATTGAAGGGGAGGGCACAAGTAGAGAGCTGTGGGGAACACTGTGATCTTTCCTTAGAGGGAAATTCAGATGGATTAAAACTAGTGTGGCCAAACACTTAATGTTTGTGTGGGGTTTCTGATGAGTTGCTATCTTAAATAATTTACTCCAAAATTAAAATGACTTGTCTTGGCATTGTTATGCAAAAGGAGAAAATGCTATTTAAGGGTTTTGAATCACTGAATGCATAGAATAGAATAACTGTTTAGCAGTATTATTAGGAATTTGTTTTTTTGACATAATAAGACTGAGGGAAGATGGCTCCTGGTATTGCTTCCGAAGTTCAACAATGTCAGGGTTGGCATCTATGATTTTCTTGCTTTTCCCTCATGCTATTCAGGATAGCATTCTCACGATTGGTTTGAACCAGCAATAATCTATCAATAACTTGTTTATAATCAAGGTAGCTTTTGCAGTTAAGAAGGAAGGAGAGAATGATTATTGGGTAAGCAATTAAGAGAGTTATCTACAATGGTCTATATATATTTTTATTATTCACACTATTACAAATGTCCTCCATTTCCCATTCTCCTTTACCCCCCTCCACTCAGACACCTCCCCCCCACCACCACCACATTGTTGTCTGTACCCATGGCTATATATATATATGCATATATGTTCTTTGGCTAATCAGTTGCAGTCCTCCCCACTCTCCTCCCCTCTGAGATCTGTCAGTCTGTTTCATGTATCTATGTCTCTGGTCCTATTTTTTTCATCAGTTTATTTTGTACATTAGATTCCACATATAAGTGAGATCATAAGGTATTTGTCTTCTCTGACTGGCTTATTTCACTTAGCATAATAATCTCCAGGTCCATCCATCCTATCACAAAGGGTAAGAGTTCCTTCTTTGTTACATTTACACAATGGAATACTGTAATGGTCTAGATTTAAGAAATATGATAGAAGGAATAGAACAAGACCATGCTACTTAAAATTCTGAAACAGATAAATTCAGAACTTAGCAGAAATGAGTTACTGATTTTAATGAAAGTTTAAAAATAATTCCACCTTTGTAAACCTAGAAAATATATTCAGGTATTAATTGACAAATTCACTCAGTAAATATTTGAGCCAAAGACATTAGTATAGCACTGTACTAGGTCCTATGAGAGATATAAAACATGATACATATTCCCTGCCTTCAAGAAACTTCGAAACAATAATTATTTGTATTATATTTTCCACTTTATAAAACTCTTTCACAGGCAGGAAATATTTGGAAATCATAACAGCTTTGTATAGAAGAAATTTTTTTATCTGATAAATAGTAGGCCCTCTAGATCCCTTCCTATGCCTCTATGGCTTTTACCACTTTAATGTTCTGGGTCAGGTTTTCAGCTGCCAGTATCTTCATCCCTTTGCCTGAGGTCTTTCTCCCAAGGGTGGAAGAAAGTCATATTCCCTTGTGGTTAGGACAATTTGGAAGTGCTTGAGAATTGTCAACCTCCCATCTCAGTATTGCTTATGCAGTGTTATACTCCAGTTCTTTTGCCTCTCACATGCAATAACTTTGAGCCATGTATTTCGTACCCTTTCCATGAATTTTCTGGTGAGATTAAGCTACAGTCATTACTAGTGGTAGCTGGCTAAGTCACCCTTTATTTACTGCCTTCCCTTCATTGTCTCACTGCCCCACCTTCTACAGGTGTTTCCTGAATTCTCCAGATAAACTACCTGCACTTAAATCCTTGTCTCAGGATTATAGAGGGCCTCTCCACTAGATTATTTCCACTTACCCACTCCTCAACTACAGTGGCAGTTCGATGGGTGGGCACCTGATTCAAGCCAAGCCAGTTTAAATCCTTCCCAGGCAATTTTGTTCAATTGAAATGGGAAGAAAAGAGGCCTCACTTTTTAAAAAAAATTCTCCATTATTGTATTTTTAGTAGAACAGTGCATGGCACAAAGTAGGAACATAATAAATAAATATTTGTAGAATATTCAATGAATACAATTCCTACATTTTTTTGCTGCTAACCCACATTTATGATCAGACATTAATTTTTAAATGTATGAAATACTCTTGTTATAGTATATCATAGTGTCATAGCATCGTCCATAGTTGTTAAGAGCATGGACTCAGGAGCCAGATGCTTGAGAATTAAACTCTGCCACTTTCTAGTTGTTAGACTATGCTGATTGTCATCTCTCAGCTCCTTTCTCCTTCTACTTTCTCCTCTGTATTGCAGGGTACTGGAATCCAAAAAACCATTACCCAGACTGACTTTCCAGTTGGTCTCATGTTCAGTTCTGCTAATGGGAGATTAACAGGCAAGAGGAGGATAGAAGGCACTTTTCCTTTTCGGGCTCCAGCAGCCTCAGCAGCACTGTGCTCTCTATTCTGGCTCCAGGAGTGCAGGGCCCACTTAAGTCAACTGGCTTCCTGCAAAGCAGGGAGCAAAGTTCTAATCATGCAAGCTGTGTTCCAAAAGCCTCAGAGGCACAGCGTTTGTGGATTGTGGATAACACTACTTTCTCTTTTGTTCCCCAGTGCTAGGATGATAGCTCTTCTTGTAGTTACCTCTGGATAACAATACCTCCCCCACCCCCTTTTGCTCCTCCAGCCTTTCTGTAGGGATTCTCTCTGAAATACCCAAAGTGGTGTGTGTTTTTTCTCTCCCTGACTAGACACTGATACTGTGACC